CAAGACATTGTGTACAATAAAAATATACTGACAATAATGTGAAAAATTTAGTAAAAAAATTCAATTCTCAACCTAGGCTAAGGTGTGTTAATTTTTAGCACATTTCTACTAACTCAATTAGCAATGTTATATAAGTCTTGTGACCGCTCATCAATCCCTTTATTGGTTTAGGTTAAACCTGTACTCGTAATGAATCCAACTTTTCGTGCTAGGTCACAAAGCTTGTTATTATCCACTCATTGTCGTGTTTTTGTCGGACTGAACGTGGACCCGCGCCAAGTGGGAGTTGTTATTACATTTCCTTTTGCGGCAGATATTGAAATATTGATTGTCCGACCGTAAGCATGTTTACGGTGTAAAAGGAGTTTTGCCGACTGTTGAAACACAACAATTTGTGAGCTTGGGAGAGGTGCAGTGATTTGTAAGAAGATTGTGAATTAATAAAGTGGATGATTTATTTGCTACGAACTGGGCGTAAACTCAACTGAGATGAGTCGTTGCCTACCGACAAACTGAGCTAATCAAATATCCCTGACAAATCCCGAAGACCCAACTTATCCCACCAGGTATACACGGTCCGGGATGGAATGCAGTGTGTGACCAACCAAAACTTAGCGGACGCTGTGATCTACCGGTCCGTGGAAGCGATCGGTTACAGTGTTTTTTGGCGCGACAACGAGGGGCACGACTTCAGGTGTGCTTTATGCTACTACGAAATTTTGCAGACTGGAGGAACAAAATGCCTGGCCATGTCATAAATATGCCCTGTACGATATTCTACGCACCTAAATTGGACAAATCATATTGATAAACTGATAAGGAAAATTTCATCTGACGCAGATTGTCAGTTGTCAAATTGCAATACAGATCACACGCGTTCAAGGTTCAGAAACCTACATTTAAATAAGAGTCTTCTGGTAGCAACCAAAAAGAAATCAACACTTGTACGTGAATACGTGCTGGACATAACCTCATTTTAATGCACTGTCTTTATAAGAAAGTGTCTATATTGATCTCATCGAGACTTCAGCGCTGCTTCTCGTATCGAATCATGTTTGTTTGCATCACAGCGTTAAGTCAAATCGTGCTCCTAACCCAACTCTCACAGCAGGGGCTCAGAATACATCCAACGGAGCAGTTCTTCTAGACAGACATAACGATCCCAAAAGCACAAAGCATTAAACAATAATGACGAACGTGTAGAGCAGCCTGTCCAGACTTTTTGTTGTGCGGACAACTTTGGCAAAATTTGATCTGCACGCCGGCAACATGAACTCTAGTATATAAAACGTGGAAAGTATAAGTGTATATCTAAGGTGTGTTAATTTTTAGCACATTTCTACTAACTCAATTAGCAATGTTATATAAGTCTTGTGACCGCTCATCAATCCCTTTATTGGTTTAGGTTAAACCTGTACTCGTAATGAATCCAACTTTTCGTGCTAGGTCACAAAGCTTGTTATTATCCACTCATTGTCGTGTTTTTGTCGGACTGAACGTGGACCCGCGCCAAGTGGGAGTTGTTATTACATTTCCTTTTGCGGCAGATATTGAAATATTGATTGTCCGACCGTAAGCATGTTTACGGTGTAAAAGGAGTTTTGCCGACTGTTGAAACACAACAATTTGTGAGCTTGGGAGAGGTGCAGTGATTTGTAAGAAGATTGTGAATTAATAAAGTGGATGATTTATTTGCTACGAACTGGGCGTAAACTCAACTGAGATGAGTCGTTGCCTACCGACAAACTGAGCTAATCAAATATCCCTGACAAATCCCGAAGACCCAACTTATCCCACCAGGTATACACGGTCCGGGATGGAATGCAGTGTGTGACCAACCAAAACTTAGCGGACGCTGTGATCTACCGGTCCGTGGAAGCGATCGGTTACAGTGTTTTTTGGCGCGACAACGAGGGGCACGACTTCGGGACTCGTAGCAGCCGATAGGAAGAATTGAAGGAAGGCCACTTCGGACGGATCGACAGCAGCCGTGAGTGACTTGGGCGAGGGGAGCAAACCACAGCGTCCCAGCATCCCGACGCTGGTCACAAGGACATCGAAACGACGACCACGCCTATTGACAGCATCGCAGCTGTGGATCATCTTCTACGCCGAATCAGGTCAGTCACATCGTGAAGTTATGGCTGGAAGGCAGCTGCGGAATAGGACTGTTGAATTCGATTGAGAATTGATTGAAGATAGTGGTTCGGACACTGAGATCAATAAATTTGTAAATAACGCACAGGAGATGGAAAGTATGGGAGGCCTTCAGCAGGTGACTGTGTGTGGGTTGTATCAATGTTTTTAAATATTTCAATTTAAAATTCATGATCATTTGTACAATTTATACTTGTCTGTGTAAATCTGTCCTACATACGAGTGTACGGGTTTTTATAGGCGCAGTGTGGAAATTTTCCGATCGCACCTCGTATAACAACTTGTTTGTGTCTTCCACTTTGGCCAAGACGAGGACCTATAGATTGACAACGTGAGACTGTTTACTCTAGATTTTCTGGTTATTAAAGATAGCAAAACTTCATTGCCATATTAACAAAGTAATATCTTCATATATAATCACCAAAGTTTATGAAGACATTATAATATACAGATACAATATAAGCCCTCTGAAAATGTGGTAAAAATTAAATGTTTCAAAATAACAAAAACAAATTAAAATCACATCCATGAATAAATTAAGAGAAACTTACATCTGTTCAAAATTATTTTCTTTTATTTTCTACTGTCTGGAGACAAAAAATACAAGTATCTATAATTTTATTTGTCAATGTCAGTCTCCCAGGCAGAAATGCCGCAAGTGTTCCTTTGAAACATTGGTAACCATCTACAAGACCACAAGTTATAAATATCTGGAAGATCACTTTTGACATCTTGACCGCCATCACAACTTAAGATCTCAGTTTTACCCGTTTCCTTCCAAGGGTGTGAAATCTGATATTTGAGAACAAGGTTCTGTAGTAAATCTTTGGATCTAAGAGAGGGACAGCAACAGGATTCTGGAGAAAACTGAATTGTGAAAATTTTCATAATTTCTAATCTCCATCAGTTGTTATTTGGATGATCAAATCAATGAGGATACGATGGCTGGAGTGTGTAAAATACACGGAGTATATGAGAAATGCATGACGTCGAGGGTGGGAATGTCATTGAATTTAGACTTGTACCTCAGCCCTTCGCACAAATCAACCACAAATTTTGTCTCTCCACCTTAAGCAAATAACATCTAAAGCACTTAGAGAGCATTTGACGCAAGCAAAGACATTTCCAGTACAAACGTGTGATTAAAACTGATTCTTACATCTTGATAGTTGTAAAACATAACTGTAATTACCTCCGCCGAGA